AAAACGCCTCGCGTCCCGCACACAAATATCGGTGGCGGTCCGTCATTATTTAATAAGCGTCAAGGCTGAATGCCGACCGCGGCAGAAGTGCGCGGCATTGCAGACGCTCCAGTCAAATGCTGCTGTCCCTGTGATTCACCCACGCCTCGCTGCCATTTAAGGACTGGAGAATCTTTACGGTTCCCCTGCGTTTTCCGCACGGAGCACACACGATTCTCTCGCGCGCGCGACCCGTCGACTTTCTCGAGATTACTCCGACGTGACGTGACGTGACGTCTTGATAACAAAGCGTCACGTTTTCTTTTGTCAAAAATTTCGTTCCGCATACGCTCTACGCTCTATGCATATGCACTACTACCTAAAGGGTTCTTAAGGTTTAATTAGACTTTCGACAAATCTCAAATTCGGCTTTTTTTATGGAAACTCTGTGATGAGGAATTATTTGTACTTAATTTTCAATTTCAATTTTAATAATCTTTTTTTCCGTAGCTTTAATTTGCAAAAAATTATTTAATTTGTGACATTAAGTAATATTGTAGTTGAATTTCTTATCACATTTTTGTTGAGAGAAAATGAAGTAAGTCAACTTTGAGCTTGAAGAGATAGCACTCTCGAATGCTGTCATGATTATTTCTAAATATTTTCATTCGCCAATTGCATTGGCTGATGATTAGAAAATGAGTAGATATCTCGCGATATTTTATCATTTCGCGAACTTGCTACGCACGTACTTGCTTTTATCATCATTCAGTGACATTCTCTTTTCAAACGTTTTTATAGATTATTCGATATTCGGTCTCCAATAACCAATAAATTGAGGTTTGTAAAGTTTTCCAACAGGCTGGATTATTTCATGGAGACGCAATCGGATCACTCGATCGTGACTAATTCTTGATACGCGGTGGCATATGAGCACGATATATGCATGGTGCTTCGGGAAAACGCGTCACCGAGTTTGTTTACACGTTCTACAACTCGTGTGATTCGTGCAGTAGCAATTAATAGACATCCATCCTGTCGTTTAACGCGAAATTACACTCACGCGTGATAGACGCGAGGAACCTTCCTGGAACATGCACAGATTCGTGCGTAAGTACCTGTTGGCTTTCGACGAATGCGGAAACTTTTCACAGAAAACCGTGACAGAGTAAAATCTGGATTCTCAATTCTTCAACTGAATGTTTGTTACTCGTATAAAAAAAAATTCTAATTGTTGCCTAATATATCTAGTTTGATTATATAATAATGATCAGTAAATGAAGAGAGAGAAGGAGAGAGAGAGAGAGAGAGAGAGAGAGAGAGAGAGAGAGAGAGAGAGAAGGGATTTGATAGTGATAATAAGAAATAATTAGATATCAAACTTGATTGTTTCTGATTGATGCAAATATTTATATTTGTTTTATATTTAACGTATGATGAGAGAGAGAAATCCCAAGACAGCAACTTTTTAGAAACTGGAGCGTAAAATAAGTTAAGGTTCCGATATGAATTTGGCTGTCATGCCTTTCTGTATTAATTTTTTTCATACGAGACTCGTACTTTCGCACTGTCCGTCACATGAAAGTATCTGCTGTTTGGAAGCAGAACAATCAATATCACTTTGCAACTGGGTGGTAGAAGGACAAATGTCATATATCCACGTACGTGACATTAGTCGGTTCACCTGCAGGCGTTCGAGAGAACGTTCTATCTGGCGTAAATGTCATCTACGTGGTCCAAAAGTTTTTTTTTTAAGGGAATGACATTTGTTGTTTTAATTGTATTTTACGTGCGAAAGTCAAAAACAAGGCAAGTCGAATTAACTGGGCGAGCAAACAGGTCTCTGCTTTTAGTTGAACACATTGCGTCACAGGTCCGTTAGCAACGTATCACGCAACAATGATTAATATGATGTCCGAGATAATTAACGTCTAGTGCAGTTAGGATAGCGCGATATTCCTGACAGGCGCGTCTAATCAACGCTCATAAAATAAACCGCAAGGGGAAACCCATGTACACCTCGTGATCCAACGTGCTGCAGCTCGAGCTATCGAACCTTTCTCTGCTGCAATGCAGGCGAAAGTGTGTATTAATCTGTGGAAGAAATGTTAATTTCCATCTCATTTCCCGCGTGTTTACCTTGATTTTAACAATCTTCTTTAATTTCAAAGTGACAAAGAGGAGAAACGTAATAGGTAATTACAGAAAAATATTTTTAATGCACTGATATATTTCGCGCATATAAATAAATAAGATATGACATGAATTATATTGGCTAGCGATACGATACATCGCATTTTAATTGCTTTTGTGCATCGACCATATAATATCCCGGTCTTACGTGCAGAACTAATGTCTATGTTAATTGTTTCACAACGCTGCAGAATCAGTATTTGCTAAGTATCCCCTAAGTAAGTATTAAATTGAGTATCGAAACAAATAGATAGCGCGACAGATTAATAAGAATTAACACTTTGCCATTACATTGACAAAATTTGTATTATGATCATTGGAGTAAGTTTATTATTATGATTATTAGAGTAAGTCTCGTTATATCGTCTCTCTCTTAATTACGGCAGCAAGTAATTTAAAACAATGTAGTTAAAATTTTGTCTTTTGAATTTAATATAAATTAGGAAACATTTAACAGCTAAGATATGTCCGGTATTCTTAAACATCGAGTTTTCAGTGATATAAATATTTATATGAACAAAATTTCTGTGAATGAGTCATCACGGAAACGCAATATTGACGTGATTATACGTTTTGCAGAAGTTGCCTAATAGAACGGAACTTCTTGTGGCTTATTCTAACTCTGATACCTGTAACGCATGATTGCGTAATAATGATTCATTCGATGACACCATGTGATGTCCTCGAAATGAGTGTCCCTCATGAAAAAGTCCCTCCATTATTTGCGTTATGGTAAACACACTTGCGATTGCGATGTCGTTCTTTTAAGTCAAAGAAAGTGAAAGATTTGTCGCTTCATCAAACAGTCTGACAACATAATAATATTTTAAATATATTCAGTAAGAATATTTGCCTTATAAATTGAAAAATTTTATTGTAAATTTTTATAAATTTTATAAATGTTTTCTTTTGTTTAGTTTCCAATTGCTAAAAAAACAATATATTTTTATACCTTTATTGCATATTAATTTAATTTATTATGTTGAAAGACTCAAAATATGAAATGTGTCACATATTACATAATACAATTAATTATGTAATATAATTATTATCACTACTTTTTTTTGTTCTTTTTGTTCTAAACGACTGCTTTGCACGTAATTATAAATTTTAATTATCTAAAGTCGCGATATATGGCAAATTAGGATAATGGCGTCACAAGGCAATTACAAATTAACATTTGCTGTAAAACTCTTCGCGGTTGGCATCGTTATCTCAAATATTTAACATGTGGTCGTAAACATATAGCTGCATGTTATGTGGCGCTATAAAACGCACAATTAACAAAGGACCTTTTATCCAACAATCTCTTTGAGCCACGTGAGATACTTTGCTTTGGAACAGCATGTTGTAATTAGGTCATCCTGAGCACCTGTCATCAGCTACTTAATCCCGAATTGCAAATGAAAACGAGTTAGTGTAGAAATGATGTATCATGAGATATTGAATTGAACCGTATGAAACATATTTCACTGACTCTCTGTTCTTGTGTTTGGAAAGGCAATATACAATATTCGTTTGAAATGCTCTATTATAATAGCTTTTCTCTAATGAAAACCAAGTGGAAAAATATAAGAAGGAAAGAATATTTCGATTTTATAATTGCAATACTTGTAACAGTTCTCAGATAAATATTTATATGTAGAGTGCTTATATAAAAGTACTTTGTTAATATCTCACAAAATAACTAGAATAAAAAGAAATAAATTTAATTTGCTCTAGATTCACGTTAAATTTTTTTAGATGATTATATTCAGATTTTCAAAATCATAAGATCCATAAATTATTCGATACTTACTTACTTACTTACTTACTTACTTAAATTATTCGCTCATATTGATTATGATGTTATACTGAATATTGATGTCACGAGAATCAAAGGAAATAAGCAAAAGAGTATGACTAAAATCGCTCAGATAATTATATGTCGGACGTTTTCACTTTTTTTCATCATACATCAGCCTTCGAATGGAAATACGCCGTCCAAGCCTCGGGATAATTTACTCATAACGCATTTATAATGTTCCGTCATATTTTTGTAAGTGTGTACGTTCGGCTTTTTTTGTCTCTGAAAAAATGGTGACGTTCATAGATAGTGTAACCATTATCTTGAAATGAGTGTCGAGTGAATTCCTTAACAAAATTCTTTCCTTTATGTACAAGAATCGAGAGATAAAGTGTGTTCAACGTCAATGTTCTAGTAATACGACAATAATTAAAGTATCTTTTTATTAAATTTTCTCCGATGATCCAGATTCAAAATATCAACAATGTTACTTGATAAAAAATTAAAAAGATGACTTAAGATACTTTAATGATTCGTCTTTATCGAGGTATGAAAAAAATATATTTAGAAGAAAGTAGAAAATACAAGAATATGTGAGACAGGAATCGTTTAAATTAAAATAACAGAATTTTTAAGAAAATACAAACTGAATATATTCCTATTATTGAAATGCATGTAAGATTTAAAACCTGAATTATGTGAATTTTCAATTCCAATTTTATTTAATTAATTGGATCAAAGACTCAACAAGTATTTTATACCTTATATTTTATCTTTATATTTTTACCTTTCTGTTTACAAAGAAAATATCTAATATTTTGAACACATTTATTTCTGACGTTATGTTACAGTTAGTATGGAAATAACTGACATTCTCGATACTTTGCGTAATGAATTGTCGAGCGCTTTCGCTTAACAGTGTCGTTCGCTTTTTAATTCGTTCAAGCGATGTATTCATTAAAAGTAGTTGAATTAGGATGTAGGAAACATTAAACTCTGGAGATTGATGACACCGAGTGACCTCCTTTTTTACTCGTTGCAGGGGTGCTGGAGATGGCGGCCACCGAGAACACGATCCGATTTAGCGGCCACACGTTGGACAAGGCGACCAAGGCCAAGGTGAGATTCAGATTTAGTTTCAACTTGATTATTTCATTAAGATAGCGACTGTTCTGCTCTATATATTGCATTCGTCATTCTATTTAGAATAGATGATATACAAACATCATAAAAATATTGATCATAAAATATTGATATGATTGCATCAAAACAGCATTTTCCAATTAATTTAAAAAAATCTTGCAAAAATAATTTTTACATAAACGAAATATTAAACATCTCATAATTTAATAATTAAAAACTTATTATTACTTGAGATTAACTAAAGAATGTATAAACTTATCTGTTTAAATTTGTGTACCATTTAATTTGTCAAGATTTTTTTTTTTATTATATTAAATAACGCTGTGTATATTAGTGTATATATTTTATATATGTATACATTTTAAATTTTCGATAAAACAGGGCACATAAAATTTAATTAAATCGATTAAACTCTTACCAACTTTCACGGTTTGACGCGAGAGAACTTGTGTAATACTTGTGTTACACGATACAGCGATCAAAGTATATAATAATGGTATAGTATAAGTATATAATAATGACTCTCATATTTTAATAAATCTAATCTGCGATCGTGGACGTGTCGTACGTTGTCCGGTTACAAGAACGGTTGAAGAAATCGGTGAAACAATTATTACATCATAACTGATAATTTAATATTCGCGTCCTCAATCGTCAGTACTCGGCGAAGAACCTTGAGTATTCAGGTATGCTTGCATGAGCAAGAAATGTGGGTCAACATTGGAACAATTTTAACCAACGTATGTAGAAGCAATGTCGATGAACTGCGTTGCTAATTAATATGTGGGTCACCATGCCAACAAGGTGGGCATTGCAATATTCTATGTACTTCTGCATTATTGGATTTAATCCATTTCAGGATTATGATTAATAATATAATAAATTTGCAATTCCGTTTATTCATTATATTATCGCGAATAAAATTCTGAATAACAGGATAGTTTCTATTTGTAATGCTATTTCCAGAAACCACATAAAATATGAGGATTTGTGAGAAATATAATTATATACTTCACAAAAGACGTATAATTAATACAAATGTCCATACAATAATATTATATTATTACAAGAAGTATGTTAAATGAAAAATGTTTTTTTATTAATTTAATTAGCACTGAAAGTAGTAAATCTAAATGAAGTATTGGTTGTGAATTAATACTTGCAATCATACTACTCATCGAAAATTGCGAAAATTTCCGCTTAATTTGAAATGCTTCTTGCTTAATAACTATGTATGTTTTCCTGAGAAAAAAATTACTGAAAGTTAGTCAATTCTTCTCACTAATTACTGTGTAACACTAATTACTTCATGGTTACTCAACGTTTGTTGGCGTTGCCGACAATGTTCGATAATTTCTTTAATAGCAATTGTTGACCGTTGTAAAAAGGTTACTCATATCAGCGTACCTGCTTGGGTTTTTAGACGAAACGGAAAAGATCGTTACAAGCTTAGAAAACCGTGGAAATCTGAACAAGTTGAGGAAATTGGAAACACTCAGGAAAATTGCAAAAAATTTCTGGAATTTACCATTAAAAACGTTAAATAAAAATGAGATTGCATCATAAATTATACAATTAACAAATATTCACAAATATTTATATTCGTAAAAGTGCAGAAAAAACCGTTAAATATTATTCGAAAAAAATAATAAAAGATGACGAGACTTCCCGCATCTTTTGCATCATTTCGTTTCATATTTACTTCCTGTCTGCCTTTCTTGAGACATGAATTTTAATTTGCATTACGACTTCAGATATTCGCATCGCACGCTAATGGAAGGCGGAAGTATAATTAAAATAAAATTTTTACCTGTAATTGTAATTTTAATTTAAAAAGGAGGCAGGGGGAAAACACTCGGGAAAAACTCGAGAATTTCTTTCAATTTTCTCCATGCAATTGCCCGTGGCGGTAAGGCAACGTTGGCTCCGAAATGTCTCGCGATGCCAAGTGCAAATCTGATCTCGGAGAGCATAATAATAATCGTGCCAGTCGTGGCAGCCGCGCGCCACGACCAGCGGAAGTGGTTTTGTCGTGCACGAGATAAAGCTTTATCGATCGCATTACGCCGAGCTCTCGAACGACGACACATCGCGAGAGAGCGGAGGGGAGGAGGAAGATATCGCGGAGGCTTAGTATATAGCGGATGATAATCGCGTTTTGCCTTTTGCAGGTAACGCTGGAGAACTATTACAGCAATCTGATAGCGCAGCATATCGAGCGGAAGCAGAGGCTGGCGAAGCTCGAGGAGTCCCTCAAGGATGAAGGCCTCTCGGAGCAGCAGAAGCAGGAGAAGAGGCTGCAGCATGCACAGAAGGAAACGGAATTTCTCCGGCTGAAGCGGTCTAGGCTCGGCGTCGAGGATTTTGAGCCTCTCAAGGTCATCGGCAGAGGAGCCTTTGGCGAGGTAAGGAAGAAGAATTGATAGCTCGCTTGGTGCGATGATTAATGGGCGAGCGAGGTGTTGATTTAATTGCGCTAAACTACGATTTGATATGAGGACTCGTTAAAGCAAAGCTTCCTTTGCGATGTAATGAGAACAAGGAGACGTGTTATCATAATTGATGTATAAATTCAATGTCCTTTCCACGGTGTAGTTCGTAATTTACGTAATTTGAGGGAAATAAGGAAGAAACTTGAAAATTCTGACTTGACTCAAGTACAAAGTCTTAAATTAGTAGATGTTTCTTTTTTCTTAACCACATAAAAGTTTTATAGTATTTATTGTAATTCGAATTATTGGAACGGTTGAAAATATTTACATTTTGTTTTAGTTTTAATAATTATAATAATTTGCATTTTAATACTCCCTTTATTTTTTTAATATTCTATTTAATATTTGAAAATACGTTTTACTGCAATATAGAATTACCGGATAATGAATATTACCGAGCATTCTCCTACAATTGAGGAATTTTAAATGTCATCTTGTAAATAATATTCTTTTCATTTATACGGCATCTCAGATGACATATTTAGCCTATGTGTGCCACATGTAAATTACTCGCAGTTCACGCGGTGCAATTTGACTACATTAGAGACGAAGATTTATTTCCGCTTTGTGGTTGTAATAATTATAATAATAACGGAAATATACTCGAGAGGCTCTCTCTCAGTGATCATGTCCAGGAGAGCAAAATTTTCTCATTACTTCTCAGAAGAAGTAGCGTTTCGCCTCGCTTCGCGAAGCAAGTGGAATCCCTTTCGTAAAGTTCGAGATTAGACGAGAAAAGAACGCTTTTAATCGCACGTGATGGAAATTTTGTCGGCATTTCACTCAAAATACGTTATTCTGTGTGAAACAAAAAACAGGTGAGACTCGTGCAAAAGAAGGACACTGGACATGTATACGCGATGAAGATCCTCCGGAAGGCGGACATGCTTGAAAAGGAACAGGTCGCGCACGTCAGAGCGGAGAGGGACGTTCTCGTGGAAGCGGATCATCAATGGGTCGTCAAGATGTACTACAGTTTCCAGGATCCTATAAATCTCTATCTAATAATGGAGTTTCTTCCCGGTGGTAAGTCCTATTATCGATCCTCGCGACGAGCTGAAAACGGAGACGCTATTCCCGGATATCGCGGATAACTCAAGAATAAATTTACAGGTGACATGATGACACTGCTCATGAAGAAAGACACGCTTTCCGAGGAGTGCACGCAATTTTATATTTCCGAAACGGCATTAGCGATCGATTCCATACACAAATTAGGTTTTATTCATAGGTACGTCTATCTCATTTAGATCCATTTTGGAAAAGGAATTACTTAGATGAAATAAAGTTTAGTTATTATATTATTACAAATTGCTTCGATCTTCTAAAAATATTCTAAATATATTTGCAAATATCTCTTTTGTGATATATTTATAAATCCAATTTTTATATCATTTTTTAATACTCGTTTAATATAATCGAGTTTTTTTGTACTTAAAAATTATTTAATTTTATTTATGTTTAACGATCAAAACAATCAAATGAGTTTTCAAATTCGGAAAGCGCGCAACTAGCTTTATTACATCATTTTATCTAAAATCGCAGATCCTTTGTAACTGAGAGCTATTATTAATTATTTGAATTTTAATTAAAGAAAGTAAAATTTACAATAAAACGTTTTTTTTTTCAAATATTCGTTAAATTGACGGATATAAAATTAGGTATACATTTAACATTGATCCTATTCTTAAATATATAATTTGTATAAACATTATATATACAATAAAATTATTTATATTAATTTAATTATATTTTATACAGAGACATCAAGCCAGACAACCTGTTGCTGGATGCACGGGGCCACATAAAACTTTCTGATTTTGGGCTGTGCACGGGCTTGAAAAAATCGCATAGGACTGACTTTTATCGAGACCTGAGTCAAGCAAAACCTTCTGATTTTAGTTAGTAATGACATTTCTTGCGTGTATCAAAGAGAAATATTTATGCAATGTCAGCTAATTCAACTGATGCCTCATCTGTTTCTCACACAGTGACATCATGCGGGAGTGGAAGCGGCGGTGCGATGGATAGTAAAAGGAGAGCCGAGAGTTGGAAGAGGAACAGGAGAGCGCTGGCTTACAGTACAGTAGGTACTCCAGATTACATCGCGCCGGAAGTATTCCTGCAAACAGGTTACGGACCGGCTTGCGATTGTTGGTCCTTGGGAGTAATTATGTACGAGATGCTTATAGGTACAAAATTTCTCATACTCCTCTTTTCAAATGTATTTATAATTAATAGATTATTTAAAAGACAATCTACATTGCTATTGATCTACTCGTATTAATTGATTATTTCTAGTATACAAAATCACTTTCTTAATTTACGCTATATTGCTATATAATATAAGTATATAAAGTTTATAAAATAAAATAAAATAAGTAAAATAAAATAAAGTAACGGTTATATTGATTATAATTGTAAGCATAGACACTAAAAAAGTTTTAAAACAAGAAAAATTAGTCCATATTAAAGATTCAAGTTAATAATGTAATTATTTCAGGATATCCACCATTCTGCAGTGAGAATCCACAGGAAACATATAGAAAAGTAATGAACTGGCGAGAAACGTTGGTGTTTCCGCCAGAAGTTCCCATTAGCGAAGAGGCTAAAGACACCATCATCAGATTTTGTTGCGAAGCCGATAGAAGATTAGGTAATTTTGGATTTTTTCTTTTTTATTAAAATAAAAAAAGATCTCTTTTAATAAATTTCATTATTGAACTTATTTTTATTCAATCTTTCTATAGGGGCGCAGAGAGGCATAGAGGAGCTCAAATTAGCGCCTTTCTTCCGCGGTGTCGATTGGGAGCATATCAGGGAAAGACCAGCCGCCATACCGGTCGAAGTGCGATCCATCGATGACACATCTAACTTTGACGAATTTCCAGACGTAAAATTAGAAATACGTATGTATATTTTTTATTATATTATTATTACATTATTATTAGCCGATAGTTTTTAATACACATATTCTATTCTTTATTTTGCCTGATTACAGCATCCGCGCCGATGCCACAGGACGGCGAAGTAATATATAAGGATTGGGTATTCATTAATTATACCTTCAAACGCTTCGAAGGCCTGACACAACGAGGCACACCGATCAAGAAATAGCAACCCCTTACTTCCTGCTCGATCACCAGTGCCGTAGCTAATCAGCAGCCAGCTGACGTGATCGAAATTCCGGCCTTGGTACATCATCCCCATCCGCCGTCGACGGCAATGGTGTCGCGTACAGCGGACGGCTGACCTGTCTCGCTCTTGGACGTAGTTCAAGTCATTCTTATTTGTATATATGTGATGAGCATGGATTGTCATGAATAAGCGCGGCATCACGATATTGGTAGTCGCGGGTGGCGACAAGAGCCAAACGGATAGGCGAGCGGATATGGGAAAGTATAGCGATAAAGGTGCACAATATGCAAATATATCGCATGCCTCAACGTATGCGCCGATAACGGCATAGCGCGCGATAAGGCGATGCGAGCAAAGTCTTTCGTTGTGTGACTCACGGTGATTCTCGTATGTATCCCCGTTGAGTAACATTATTCTTTAATCTTGTCGTGCCGCGGAGAAGATGTTTTGTGCGAAGCGTAGCATAATAAGCTCTCTGTGGTAATGGTATTAAACAGAAACGATCGGAGAGAGCCTCGGTCCCATGATTCTTACATACTTTCTCACTTATCTACGCGACGCGTGTGTGTCAATGAAATTTTATTGGATAAAATATATTTGTCGACTAAGCTCTCGAATCAAGCTCTCTCTTTCTCTCTGTTTGAACGTTGTATTTATAATTAACTCTCTGTGATATATGAAGTTGTTGAAAATATCTGCTACTTTCGGACTTTTTTGTCTGTTAGCGGATGCTACGCTTTTATTGATGTTGTATATACGTGATTAATCGTATTTCGATATGTCTTGAAAATTTAAAAGTTGTTGCGATGGGATTTTATAATATGTATTCTTGTGCTACTTTTGGGAGCTTAGATCCATTCATGAAAACTGGGCAAATTGCAAAATTAGTGACACGCGTGCGATATTTATCATATTTTAAAAAATTCTGATATATTTTACATATTTTATCATTATGTAATGATAAAATAAATTATGATTTTAGCATTATGTAATGATATTTTTTTGGTACCGGGTCTCTCTCTTTCTCTATCTCTCTTTCTCTTATAAGGCAATAATAAACATTTAGCCGTGTCTGAATACACGATAAAGAATGCTAGGCTTTAAAAGATATCATAAAAAGGCGTAAAAAGGGAGAAAGAAAGATTACACTTGTAAGATTCAGGGCTCCTTCGTTGCCTTATTAAGGTTCCTAACAGACAGCCCAACAAATCCGTACGTTTAAACGAAAGAGATGAGTCAGACATACCACTTTGATAGAAGACGATAAGGAAACGGCATTGTACTGTGACGATATGTAGAAAAATCGTACACACATGTCCGTGTATTTTAACACTCGATGGAACCGAACACCTTTTCTTTCGATCGCATTGTGAACAATTTTACGATTTACATTTCGTAGTTCTGCTGACAACCAGGGCACCTTGGTAATAAAATAGAGTAATAACGATAAAGTCTAGGTAACATTTAAGATAACAAACATACATACACACAAAAGTACCTATACATAAAAGAAAGAAAATGCACGCGTGCATTCGAAACGTAATTGCGTTTTGGATAACATAACATAGTACATGTATAAAAAAAAAAAATTCTCGATGCTCCTTCCACATAACGTTCCGGCGTGGCTCCACTTAATAATCACGCAATCACGCTGTACTGTACATTCGACGAAGAGATTAGTTTCGTATGACTACTCCACCTGCATATGTATCTTAATGCCGTTTACTGAAGTCTCCAAATAGTTTAAATAAAGCAGAAAGCGCCTAGATTAGGGTGTATTACCAGTTAAGCCAGTAATTTAAACAAAGAGAAAAAAAGAAGAAGAAAATCACCCATGAATAAAGCTAGTAGAGAAAAAAAGGTGAGAACTATTTTCTGCATTAGAAGTTAAATCGACAATGAATGTAACGTAAGCGGGAAAATTAGGGAGTTACGGAATACTTTTAGTCTCTCCTTGTCGCCATTGAGTACAGATGCTCTGACGTCCATGCTACTAAGTAAAGAAAAAAAAAAAAGAAAACGAAAAAGTGATCGCAATTTATTTATTTAAAGAGAAAGTCTAAATAAATGATACAACAATAGCCACGAGATGCCTTCGACGCAACAAGTTTGGGCCCTGGAACGTGCATATATA